CACACACACACACACACACACACACACACACACACACACACACACAGTCAGTCAGACAGACAGACTGACTCACACAGAGAGAGAAAGAGAAAAAAAGGAAGAAAGAAAGAAAAAAAGAAAGAAAAAGTGAGAGATAAAAGAAAAAAAGGAAAAAGGGACAGAGAGACAAAAGGAAGGAAAGAGAGAGGGGAGGGAGAGAAAGAAAGAAAACACATGGCCGGCAAGCTACTCCCACCAGGTCACATGGCTGGCAAGCCACTCCCACGAAGGAGACCACACCCACAGAGTAGGTTCGAAAAATTTTTGAAACCCACCACTGGTTATACTTCTCTATATTTCTTGCTAATGCCATCTGGGCAATAAAGATATGAAAACCCTATTGCTGAATATCTGCACTTACATTATTTTAGTAATTCTTACAGAACTCTATGTGGCAGGCAAATGTAATTATCCCATATCACAGATGGAGGAATGAGACTGAAAGGATAACTTACCTAATGCTATAGAGTTCAGAAACAAAACTGGAATCAAATATCTTACTATTTCAAATATAATTCTTGAATTTTACAGATTTAATTTGTCCTGTTTTAGGTTCTGAAAAAATATTTTATTTCTGCTTTGTGACTGACAAATTTGAAGAATTTTAGATTAACGGAACTATCACGCTTACCTAATTGTATTGCCATATTTGATCTTAAATTTGTATACATTCACACCAGCATGAAAAAACCTCGTCTCAGGCATTGGATATGTAAAAGATTTCAAAGATGTGTCCTCTAAAGTCCAACCTGCTGATAAATAAATAATAAGAAACATTTTTTTTTCATTTTGAATCTGATATTATTCATAGACAAAACAAAATCTAACATGATCGGATTTGTTTTTAAAATCTTTCCATGTTACTGTTTTACATGTATAGCAAAGATTAAAATATTTTAATATTTTATTAAATATTAACTATTATATAGTATTACGTTCTCATTCACATATAGCTTGCAAGAACCACTGCTTTTTATTCTGAGAATGTTCATTTTTTGGGGTAATTCTGTTTATAAGTTAATGATAAATTAATATGAAAGGAAAACTATGTTTTCAAGCTATTGCTGGCAGATCCAGGATCAACAAAGAAAATTCTGTTAGCTTAGATTTTAAGCCAGCATTGTGGTCAAAAGACTAAATATTTAAGTACTAAATATTAAGTCATACTGTGATTTATGTGTAAGCTGAAATGATGCAGAGTACTGACTAAACTTTAATTTACTAAGAACTTTATCTAAGCTTTTAGTGCTTACATAAAAAATAATCCAATATTTGATATCGTAACAAAAAAAACAATAATTGCAGAGCACACAATATTTGCAGTTATTTTTCCAAAACAACTAAAAACTAAAAATGTCTCTTCCATTAAAATACTACATTATAGCAATTTGAATACATGCACAGGAACAGGAGCAAGGAAATATATTAGTATATATTTAGTAGTCAATGATTTAAACAGTCACAAATAAAATACTCTAGCTCTCAATACTTTTATCAGTCTGATTTATATGCCAAGCAAGAGAAGTACTTCATAAAAGACTGCATTTTCCTCATATTGTACATGTAGTTCTCGACCCACAACAGTGTCCGTTCAAAGTTCTAACAGCTCTGAAAGAAGCTGACTTATGACCATTTTTCACACTTACAACTGTTGTGGCATCCCTACAATCACAGGATCAAAATTCAGAAGCTTGGCAACTGGTTCATATTTATAATGGCTGCAGTTCTAAGGGTCATGTCATCAGCTTTTGCAACCTTCAGCAAGCAAAACCAACGGGGAAGCNAGAAGGCCCATCCTGTGCGATCTTATTTAATAAAATAATCATATTAACTCCTTTTGTTTTATTTCCAATATATTCAATTAACTATTTCTGCCATATGAAAGTTATAATTTTAGCCATAATTACAGAAAGTTGTGGACAATTTTGGGACTCCACCTAAGACTTGCAGCACCTCTGTTGTAGTGAATTTATTTTTAAGTACAGTCATAATCTAGATACATGCATAAACATTTTATTCTCCCCGTTTTATTTAACAATAGCAATAGCATTTAGATTCATATACCGTTTCACAGTGCTTTACAGCCCTCTCTAAGCGGTTTACAGAATCAGCATATTGCCCCCAACTGGGTCCTCATTTTACTGACCTTGGAGGGCCGGAAGGCTGCGTCAACCTTAAGCCTGGTGAGACTTGAACTGTCAAATTGCAGGCAGCCAGCAGGCAGCAGAATAGCCTGCAGTACTGCATTCTAACCACTGCACCACCATGGCTTTAGATATGAATTTAGATATAAATTCCAATGGGCACTCATAACCTTTTTCTTAAATCATCTTATTTTTCAAACATTGGGAGGCAATACTCACAGAGTTACAGAAATCCCTATATTCTCTTTCACCTAAAATATACATAATACTTGAAGATAAAATCAGCATTAGATTAACAAATTTATACATAAAATATGACACACATATGAGCTGCAAAAATGTAAAGAGCAAAAACCGTCACTAAATATTCTTTAGACTATCCCTAGAAAAAAAGGTAATATATTCATATATTATTAATATATTCATTCAATGAACATTTCAATAAATTTTATTCATAATTCACTCCTTAAAAATTTAGTTTCATTTTAAGTTCTAAGAACATACCCAGATGAAAATGAATACTATCAAGCTAAAATTTGTCTTGGATACATATGGGGGGAAAGGTTTCAATAAATGCGCCACTTTCACGCATGTCCACACATGTGCAGAGCATCAAAAAAGGACGTGATGATGTCCAGGTGGAGCTTACTACCAAGCGCACCTTGCGAAAGGTGGAGCTCACTACCAAGCGAAAGGTAAGTAGAACAGCGAGATGGAGGGGAATCTGCTGTGCCACACGATTTAGATTAGCTAGAAAGCAGTAAATACTACTTTCTAGCTAATATAAATCATGCGTCACAGTTGATCGTTGGAAATACCAGTTCGCCTGAACTGGTAGCATATTTTTTTTACTACCGGTTCAGGAGAACCTGTAGCTTTTTTTTACTACCGGTCTTACTACTAGCACTATAGTAGCATTTTACCCCTGATATTGATGTTTTAAATTGTCCCATATTTTTATATACTTCATTGTTTAAGATATCCTGCAAATCCAGAAAATAACCTCTAAAATTCATTTTATTATAAAATGAATCATAAATATTACAGGTTATCACAGAGTGAAATAACTAATTATATTGGAATCTTGATTTAAAAATATTGCATCATGAAAAATACTGTTGCCAAAAGAATATTAATGGGGGTTGGATGACCAACTACAATTTCTTGAATTATTCTGGGGAAATCCATTGTAATAAATGCAAA